CACGAATAGTGACCATTAAATTTCACCATTTTTGTAGGCTTTAAAGTGTTTAACATAAAAGCTTGCTTATATCGTCATAGCATTGAAAATAAAACGATAAAAATTTCAATTTAGCTTATTCAAAACATTTAAAATGTTGAATTTTAAAGTTAATAATAAATCATTTACATTAACAAAAGCTAAAAACGTTCATTGTTCATCACTGTTCACCTGATGATGAATGGCTACTGCTCATAGGTCGGAAAGGAAGCCTACCAAATATAAAAATATTATACAACTTATGAATAAACAACATAATTATATTTAACCAAACATAAACAACTCACACTTAGCCCATTTCATGTTTGGTCCGCCCTTCTCTTCGAGGTCTAACTTCAGTACCGCATAGCATTTTTGATTATGATGTAATATATATATATATATATATATATATATATATATATATATATATATATATATATATATATATATATATATATATATATATAATGGATATTTTTGTTAAAATCAGGTGTCGAAAACTATTTCCAAATTTCGGTACAATTCTTCGGTTTAGGTAAAAAAATTGTTTCCAATTTTATAAAATACAGAAAATTTCGAGGTTCTCAGACGAGGGAGAAACCTTCGTGGTGTAAGAGCTTATCTTTGTTTTTCTATTATTAGTTCGATCATCACATATGAAAAAGGAGATTATTAGCGCAAGCTATCCTTTTTACGGTAATATCATTTTATATAATACATGTGAAATAAAAAAAGGAAATAGGTACCAACTTGTTTCGCCCGTTTACCCGTTAAAAAAGTTTCTACCGGTTCTCCTTTAGGTTTTAGTTTCAGATGTAAGAAGGAAATCGAGTCATGTAAAGCTGGCGGTTTAGGTCTCTGTACATTTATACCTCAGACATGTCAAGTTTTCTGACGACGTTTTCCTTCACCGCCGAGCGCGTACTAAAACAGCAATTAAAATCGCAATAAACTCTTTCAAGGTACTTGTTTTTAGAGCTTGTTCATTGGTGTTAGTAGGAATTGAACCCAGATTACTATATATACTTTGAAATTTACGGCGGACACTTAGCCGCTGAGCTACTACGGCTTCCACAATAAAACAGACTTTCCTCAGTAACTTTATAAAATTTTTACGATTTGTATATTTTACGATTTTTTTATTTTTTCTTTAACAATCAACTTTCTTAAGGTTTTCGTATTAAGACACAGATAAGCGTTTATGACCAGAACTTAGACTCATATCACAATCGTAAAAGATTCATAAAAGAAGAGAAAACGAAAGACACCTCATAATGATGCAAAATTAAGTCTTAATGTTTTTCAAAAATTTTGTTTAAATCAACCGAATATTTAAACATTTTACTGTTGCTTGCCGGCACGAGGCTAACATTACAGAAAATATATTTCCTGTAGTCAAAGACCAAGAAAGAGGAACGGGCTGAACATATAACTTGAAATATAACATATACCTAACTTGAAATATTATTTAAATTTCAAGTGCAGTCAAAACCTTGCTCAATTTATTGTAATAGCATATAGTACATACACTTTTTAATTGATGTTGCAAGCTGCGTAGTGACGGTTTATAAATATCCCTCACATACTTCTGTGGGAGTCGAAAGAGCCGACAGAGGGAAACAAACGATAAAATGGCCAGCAAGTTTTTCCTAATGACTATAAAAGAAAAACTGTTTCCGAGTCGGCAACAGTTTTTCTTTTGCTTTTAAAAATTTATAGCACATATTACGCCTGTAAGGCAATGTATGGGTGAGGCCTATGTTCGGTAGTGGACGTTTAATAAGCTAAAAATTTAATTTTATTACCGTTTAAAATCAAATTACTGACGTATGACCAGTGTGCTTCTTTTGATATAGCATTATTCACTTCGTCATATTTTAATAATTGCCTTTCATGTCGGAAAAATTAATGAAATATCATCATTAAATAAAACTATAACTTAGTACTTAGTAACTATAACTTATTGCCTACCAAGTAAAGTGTGTTATTAATATAAACTAGGAACGGGGTCGGGCCAAGAATTGAACCACAAGAAACACCCATAGATACTACCGATTCGGAAGAACTGCTCCCATTAATAACAACTGTTCGCATTCAATTATTACAATATGATGTAATTAGTTTAAACGCTATGTTTTAACACGATATGATATTTTTATTTCATCAAAAAGGCCACCATTTCTCCACTATTCTTACATAAATTTGCATATTAACATAAACACAAACAACATTTCACTAAACACGGTAACGGAAGGCCTTTTCCATTAAAGAATGTGGCAAGTGAACTTAATTCTATCTAACGGTATGTGACTTTTACAGCCAATGAATATTTGCAACCAACTTCAAGCAAAGAACGCAGCAGACACCTCTTCGGACGAAAATTAAATACTATTGGATCTCTATAATCTTCAGACACAGCAACGTAGTATGAATTTTAACCACGTTGTTGGTTGCAAATGAATTTAAGTGCTTATTAGTGCATGTGTGCGTGTTTTCACAATTAGTTGAGCATGGTTTCAGCGTCGTCTAAATAGGCTTCATAAATTAATCTCAATTATATGAGGGATATTTGCCGTAGAGTAACCGATTTTTCTCCTATTTTAATTTACCTCCGTCACTTTTAAGGCTAGTTAATCCTTTTACACGGCCTCTATACAGTGTGTCCGGTCACGGACTAGCGATATTTCAGGTACTTATAATACAGCTATTTTAATATAAAAATACACTGCACACTGATGTCTAATCCCCTCCCCCCTCTATTTGGCAGCCATTTTGTTTTTCGCTTGAGATATTCTCTACGCGTTTACGAAAAAAGTCATATCTCTGAAAGTTTTAGTCTTACTGAGATAAAAATTAACTCATTCGGAGGCCAATAATATCATTTATCGTTTACTTTAAGAATTATTGTTGTTTGAACATAGCATATACGCAAACACAAAAGGCCTTTGTTAAATGACAACTGGCACTGCCTGTCTAGGAGTAATAGTGATAGTGATAGTAAATGACTTTTAATAATTATTGTTTATAATCTACAATAGTTGATACCCGCTCGTTTCGCTGGATGCACCATAATATTTTATTGCGGTACCCAGATGTAAAACATGAAGAAACTTTTTTTGGTGGTACTATCGTAAACTCCGTTCTTAGTGAGCGTCTACATTGCTAAAAGAGTAACTATACTAAAATTCAAGTCAATCGAGTGTACAGTTTTAGAGATCTCGTGATGAGTCAGTCAATCAGTGGTATTTCGCTCATATATATTTACTATCCTACTAATTAGGTACGTAGTATTTTAATTTCGATAGTTTTTAGTTGATTTATTTATATACCGAAAGTTTTTTTCAAATTAGTAGTATTTATTGATTGATCAATTTCGTTCACCTATAAAATCACTGGAAACAAATATGTTGTTAATATGTGAACGAACTAGAATCCTATAGCACTAATATTTTACCAAAAATAAACTCAATTAATTAATTAATTAAAATCTATCTAATTTTGAATCTATCTAAATTCAAATCATACCCTAACCTGTGACCCTGCTAAGTGACAAGGTTTGACCTTGTTGATGCCTACTAAATTTATTGTTTTATTGCCGTTTGTAAAGTAGAGTGGCGTATCCGTTTGAATTTCGATAGATTTTAATTAATTTATTTATTTAATTCATTTTTATGTTATTATTTTTTGTAAAATATCAGTGCCATAGGCTTCTCCTTCGTTCATATGTTACACCCTATTTTTGCCAGACGGTAAAAAAATTATTCAGTGTATAGAAGATTGAATGTAATAAATTTCTATTTATTTTAAAACGTTACTGCAATTAAAGCCCCTCTATAGCTTGGAACTCTATTATATGTTTATGCCTTTTTCATTTCTTATAGCGAGTAATATTGTAGAGACGTTTCAAAATTAAAATATGAGTAATTTCTAGTTATATAACTACATGCTTTGGCAACACCGTTGATTTGGAACTACATTAGAATCTTAAAGTTTAGCAACATTAAACTTCAACGAAATCAAAACAGATCGCAACACCGAAGCTTATAGCGTAAGTTTTTATTCCTACGATTTTGAATATCAAGATAATTTCACAAAATTACATCTAATAGTAGAACAATAGCGTAACGCCAATAGCCTTTCACAATCTGAGTCAATTCAATCTATATATAACATTACAAATGAGATTTTAAAAAAAAATAGTAACAAAGTACTTATATCTCAGACAAATAAAAAAGGTAGACGGGGCGATGCGTTATTTTTTCAGTAATGACGAAACCTTGCTTAACTTCTTGACACACAAAAACACAAAAAACAAACACAAAAAACCACACACACACCACACACACACACACACACACACACACACACACACACACACACACACACACACACACACATTCTTTTTTTTCTTTCTGTAGCCCGTAAAAGTGCACTGTATATGCACCTAAAACCACGTTGTTTTCACTGTTGACAAAACCATGCGGTTTTGGCTTGGTTTAGGCGTCATTCATCATTTGAAATGAACGCAGCGCTCCGTTGTTCTTTTTTGTTGGTTTAAGACTTATAGGTATATAAAATTAATTTTAGTGTTATTAAAACTAAGTAATGCAATAATCATATCTTATATTAACGCGAAATAAAAACAACAGATTTAATAAAACTAATTTGACGGATTTTACCACGTTGGATTTTTTTTAATTCTCAACGTTTCGGGCACTTTAATATAGCATTAAACATCAAGTGTTTGACGTTCTGATTTCCACAGTTAAAAAGTTTTTCAACTTTTTAATTGTCAATTTTTGGTCTGAACTTCGCAAAAAAGTTAAAATTAAACACAATAAAATCCGTAAATATTTTTTTACAAGTATTGGAATGAAAATAACTAAAAAATTACGACTAAAATATTTTTCAGAGAATCAAAAAAATATTTTTATTGTATTTTTACTTACATTTATTTACATAAAAATAAGCCGCCAGCTTTAGCTGGTGCTATCAGACTTGCCAGACTCACTCTCCTCCGTGATAGTGATCATAGGTGGAGCATTATCAAAACTATTACCTTCCGGAGACGCTTCGTTCTGTAACTTTGCAAACTTTGGTGACCCGGTTAATATAACTTCTTTAACTGATTCATAAACTTCAGCTCTGATGGTTGGAAGGGAGGCCCTTTTGCTTTTTATAGCATCTTTTACAGATAAATCTTCTTTAACACTCGCCAATGCTGCATCCGTTGATACTGTATGTTTTTCTTCTATTTGAAAAGTCAGACTGTCAAATCTGCTTAATTTCTTTTCCGGACTTCTATTTCTTTCAGTTGCTGCCATCGGAACACCGTTTTCAACTTTTTTCTCTTTTTGATCAAGTATATGTTGTAGGCTGTATTCTCTAGCTTGTACATCAGAAAAAAGAGGTCCGTCAGTAGAACCCTCAATACAGTAACCAGGCCCCTGCAAAACTTCATTTCCAATAATAGAATCTTGTTTGAAAATCGCTGCTGTAACAACCGGTTTATCAGGATCTGTTGATAACTTACCAATCAATGGTTCTTGGGAACTATCATGAGTCATGCCATCCGTGTCCTCCTTAGATACCTCATATCCGGCATACACTGGATACCCAAAAGGACCTTGTTCATATCCTATCTGACTTCCATAAGAATAGCTGACATTATGAGATCCTATTGAAGACATGCTCAGATCCGAGATGGAAAGTCCAGTACTCGACAAAGCTAAGGCTTGCCTTTCGAATTTTTCACTACTTCTCTCGCTATCTTCTTCTAAAATCCTCCTTTCCAGCTCTTCAGGAACGCGGTGAATTAGTGCCTGGTTGGTAGATATTTGAGGGTCATGATGTGGAGAGCTCTGCATGGACTTGTTAGGTCTATATGCTGCTGACTGTTGCACTTCTACGACGAAAATGCCATCGTTGTCTGGCGAGTACTTCATTTTCGTTTCACGGCCATTTCTCATTATATCCTGTAAATATAAAATATATTTTAGCAGATAATATCATAACGTAAAACCTGCAAAAGTAATATTAAAATCTATACACATACGTCCTACTGCTTGGCTGCCTCATTTGTTTGGTCTTTGGTCTTGTAATCGATAATGCAGTTGCCGATAAGGCGGTCCAGGGTACGAATCACGGGTCGAGCCAAAATCGGTTATAAGGTTTTCCAGTTAAGAAATTTTCAGTAGCAGCCGGGAGTCAGTAAGTTGACGGTGCTTCAAACCCGTGCCTCCAAAAGCACGTAAAGCCATAGGTCCTGCACCTGATCTCTATCCGGTCGTGTCGGATTACCATAGCACCGGACTATGGGAATGAGGGAATAAATATGCCTATCCTGCGTAGATGGCTAGTGTCGTTTAAAATGGCCGCTGTGACCGAAATTCAGTCTGGAGGTCATTATTATTGTGTGAAAAAATTGAGCTGGCTTTGATTCCGTTGTTGGCGTGAAGGATGCCTGCTACGGTTTTTAGTAGTTTCTATAGGCAGTGGATTATTAATAGACTGTAATGATGACAAATTATGATTATAATTGTGTAAGTTAAACACATGTGTTATATCTTATGTATGTAATAGAATCTAGCTCCAACAGCATACTATACTGGAACATGAACGAGTCACCTAAACCGGGGCAGAACCACTACAACAGAAAACCAGGGCGAAATAGCAGTGTGATTCTTTAGTTTGTGTTTGATGTATAAACGGAACCGAAAACACTTGTCCCGATAACGAGGCATTCTATCTCAGTCCTAAGGAATGTCAAAGCGTCTACGTTTTAATTTTGCTACATTATCCATAATATTATCCCTTCACCCTTTTTAATGTGGTAGAGCCACGCTGCAGCTATATTATGGTTGTAACACAAATGGGTTGGCTCGACCGGTGTAGGACCATGCTCTCACAGTATGCAGGCGTAAAATATCAGCTATGTTTGTGTGGTCAATGTAGAGAACCGGAGACTCTTTTTACTGAAAACGAGGTATTCCATCTTATTCCTCAGGGGTGACAACGCATCTGCATTTTAAGTTTTAGTCATGAGTAAATGTAGATGTGTATGGACCATAGCATCTACTTACCATCAGGTGAAATGTATGCTCTTTTGTCACCCTTATGCTATAAAAAAAACCCTATTAAAAAATCTACATCTGCCCAGTTATACCATCGTAATCAAACATCCAATAAACAAATTTAAACAAAAAATAAAAGAAAATCAAAACGTCAGTCACAATTCCTCTCATATTGTTCTTGATAAAAGAGTTGTTGAAGTTTTAGAAGAGGAAACATGAGTATACCAGATGACAATGCTTCAATATTTCAAAGGTAAAATAAAACCAAACTGTAGTTTGTCTCTCTCAGTTATTTAGGTCAGCCGTTCAGGCATAATGACGTTTTTTTCGGCGGTAGGTGAAGAAAAAGTTAACACATACGTAAAATTTTAATTTGTATTTTAAATTAACTTATACAATATTCCACATAATTTGTTATATATTTGAGTGCTAATTAACACCATTTTCTTGGTAATCGCATTTCTACAACTGTGTATATGTGAATTTATTCCATCTAAATACACCACCTGCCAGCATATTACACACACTTGGATTTCATATATATCTTGGCACAACACCATGTCTCAACTTGATGAGATTAGAACTGCACAGAACAGTTTGGAGGAATGCTTTTCAAAAAGGATGGCCGAACTGGAAGCACAGTTACACACGGGGGGGATCCGCCAAGGACACGGTTGCAAAGGTGGCTGAGGAGTTTCGAACCTTCCGTGAACTCATGTTCTCTATGCTCGGTATGCTCCGTAAACAAATTAATGAGTGCTCCCATATGGTTGACGCTATTGAGACCAGGCATCGACGAAAGGCTCTCCTTTTCTTGGGTGTTGCTGAAGAGGAGAAGGAGGACTGCAAGGCTACAGTGCTAAGTATAATCCACAAAATGGAGTTGAAGGACATCACAGCATCTTGCATTAATGTCTGCCACAGGATTGGAGTAGCCACCAAAAATCGTCTCAGGCCAATCCTAGTTCGATTTCTTAGCGTTGACTTCAGGTCATCAGTATGGAGGGCGAAGTCTAGACTGAAAGGTTGTCCAGTTTCAGTAAAGGAGTTCTTGACAAAGTCTCGGCAAACTGTTTTTGGCAAAGCCCGTCAGCATTTCGGCATGCGTGCATGCTGGACCCAAGATGGAGTAATTGTGGTGAAAGTTGCAGATGGATCCCGGCATAAAGTCACTACCTTAGATGAGCTGACTACTCTTACGCAAAAACACCCTAAGGCGACTGCTGAATCCTCAACTGGAGGCGAGCGCATTGCAGGAAGCAATTCTAAGCCACGTAAATAACTACGCAGTATTGCGTTTTATTGTCTTAATTCTCCTTTTTCCTTTTACTACAACTTTAAATTTATTCAACATTGCAGAATTACTTAGTATAATTTATTATTACTTTTTATCCACAGTATTAAACCTTGTTTTGCTTTTATGTAACCTTAAGCTTCTTTCTTTCTCATTTATTTGCATTTTTTTTTAAATTAGTTGATTTCTAATTTTAATGTAGTTTTTAGTTTTACATCATTTATTAAAACTTGTATATATTCACTTAAAATTTTAATTACATTTTAGGTTAGTTTCTACTTTGTTTTGGTATTAAGTTGTTTTACTTTTGGTTATATTTTGTCCATAGATTAATAGATTCGTAACAAGTGCATAGTGCAATTTAACTTTCGGTCGCTGGGAAGGTTTTTTTTATTAATACATGATCATGGATACAAAGTCCTTTGGTCACAGTATATTTGTCGTCTATGAGACACTTCTCTATGATACTTTTTATTTGTTCTAAGTTCTTCTATTTATTATTAGTAATCTTAACGTAGTTTAGTTGTAGTTGTCTTGCAAATCATTTTTATTTTTATTGTTTTGTGTATTATATTTGTCTTTTAATTTTTGAGTGTGTTAGCTGGCGGGTGGTGCAGGGATGGCTGTTTAGCAATCGAAATTATTACTATTTTTTTACGTTATATAATTTTAATTATACTAATTTATTAATTTTTATAGTTTAGGTCTATATTATTTATTTATTTTTATATATTCTATTACATATAGATGAGTTCCGATGATGATTCTTTTCTTTCTGCCAACGAGTTTTCTTCATCAAATGACAGTTATTTCTCTATTACTGAAACGTTAGGGGATTTTGTGCGACATAAATTCGATGAATCCCGCTCTTTGTTTAATGTTTGCCACATTAATGCACAGAGCGTACCTAGTCATTACAGTGATCTGATTGAGGCTTTCTCTGACGCTGATGTTCATGCCGTCTTGATTTCGGAGACTTGGCTTAAGCCCCATCTTCCTTCTACCTCTTACCCTCTCTCTGGCTTCAGTTTGATACGCAACGATCGAATTGATAGGAGAGGGGGTGGGGTCGCTATATATCTTCGTTCTGACTTTTCTTATAAAATTCTAGCTTCTTCTTCCCCCTATTATACTGCATCTGCAGAATTTCTCTTCCTTGAAGTTTGCGTAAAAGGAGCCAAATTAGTACTTGGCGTTGTCTACTGTCCTCCTTCTGTCGATTACTTCTCCAGTCTTGAAACAATTCTGGAATCCTTGGGGTCGGAATACTCACATCACGTCATCATGGGCGATTTTAATACAGATCTCCTCACTCCGCACTCAACCCGTTCCTCCAAGCTCCTTCAAATTGTCGAGTCGGTTGGCCTCCACATATTACCTTTACAAGCCACTCACCACAATATTGATGTGGAGGATACCTGGCTTGACTTAATCCTTACCTCTGCTCCTTCTCTTGTCTTCTGCCACGGTCAACACTTTGCACCTGCTTTCTCCTATCATGACCTCATCTTCCTTTCTTACGTCCTTAAACCTCCTAAACCTCCAGCTAAAACTCTACACATGCGTTGTTTTGGTCGCTTGGATGTTGAAAAGCTTTGTATGGATGCATCCAAAATAAACTGGAACAGCGTGGTTTCTGCACCCACTGTGGATGAAAAAGTTGGGGCTTTGAATGAAGCTATCCTTAAATTATATGACGTACATGCTCCCATCAAAAAAGTGAAGCTCAAGCGTCCACCTGCGCCTTGGATGACGATTGGGGTTCGGATTGCGATGAGACGTAGGGATCGCGCTTTCGGCAAATTTAGAAGAGATCGATGTGATCAAAACTGGACGCTTTATAAAGTTGCAAGGAATCGGTGCAATCAGATGATACGCAACGCCAAACGCCGATTTATTCTTAGTAACATCTCATCTTCTTCCCCTGCTAATATCTGGAAGTTCCTTGGAACCATAGGTATCGGTAAACGACACCGTTGTGAGTTTCAAAGGACGATTGGTCTGGATGATATCAATTTTCATTTTGTCTCCAACAGTCCTCTTGATCACCAGACCAAGCGTCTTACTGTTGAACACTTAATGGGTTTACCTCGTCCTGATATTAATCTGTTTCAATTTTCTCCAGTAGCTGTAGATGAGATCAAGAAGATAATCCTTTCCATTAAATCTAATGCTGTAGGTTACGACAACATCAGCCGACGGATGATTATCTATATACTTGACCATATCCTCCCAGTCATCTCGCACATCATTAACTACTCCTTGGATTCTGGTAATTTTCCCTCACTGTGGCGTAAGGCTTACGTTATTCCCTTACAAAAGATCCCAAATCCCACTTTACCCAATCATTTCCGACCTATATCCATCCTTCCCTTCTTATCCAAGGTCCTTGAGGCCTGTGTCCACAAGCAACTTTCGCAGTTTATCTCTCGTAATAACTTATTAAGTCCCTTGCAGTCTGGCTTTAGGCCCGGTCATAGTACCGTTTCCGCACTCCTGAAAGTAACTGGTGATATTAGGGCAGGCATTGAGGACACTAAAGTCACTGTGTTGGTTTTGGTTGACTTCTCGAACGCCTTTAATACCATTAGTTATGACATTCTAATTT